AGCACGACCTACAGAGACGAATTTCCCTTCAAATCTCTTCACTTCCTCCTAACAGACTTCCTGCATCTGCTGAAGGATACAAACACCTGTACGACCGTGTACTACGGCACCAGTAACACCTACACAGCAGATACGGGGACCGAGGTCCGATTCGGAAAGTTCATCAGAGCCGAAACCTCTCTGAGCTATGCAACTGAAGTGGTGGAGTCCGAAGGAGGCACCTTGTTTATCATCACTTCCTGTTCTGTGGTTAATGTTGAAAGGAACATGTGTAAATCTGAGGAAGTCCAGGCTCTTATTTCTCCAGCCGAGGTCTTCACAGTGCAGAACGTTAGAGATGTTCTCACTGATGATGACACATATAAAGAAATCACTTTAACACACTCACGCTCTCTCAGCAATCATAATTGCTCTTTCTTCCACAGGTAAGAGGATCAATTGTAGTAAATTCAGGTGTTGATAGAAGATTGTGTAGGTTTTGTTTTCATGATGAGATTTCCACTTTGCTTCTAGACTTCTGAATCCTGTGCTCTGACGTTCAACACAAAACACTAAGCTTGAAATCAACAGTGATGCAGAGTGGATTTTTCCTCTAATGACTCTGTCTCTCTGTTTCCTGTCTATCTGTTTCCTGTCTCTCTGAAGGAACGCCACGGATGCTGCATCCTCCACCTCTCTGACTTTCACACTTCTGGCACTGACTGCCTCCATGCTGAGTCACGTAACGCTGATGGAGTGACTCACGTGTTCATCGACACGTTTATAGCACGTTTAAGCCGGTGTGTCACAGATTTGGAAAACACTGTTACCCTGATGAGTTTAATACGACTTCATTATTACTGCTTTCTCTGACGTGAGTAGACAGGAAGTGAGAGAGAAGGAAAGAGGGAAGTAACTGGTGAAGAGTTATTTGAGATTGCATTTAAGGAACCTTAAAACTTCGTTCTGCATATCTGAGCTGATTTATTTTTGTTTATTACGCAGGAGAATGTTAAATTAGCTGTGGAGGTGAAATATCAAATCACTGAGATACAGAACAATTCTCCATCTATGGTTTCTGGATCTTCTGTATGATTTTCCTGATCTTATATAATAAGCTCTAGTTGTTTTTCTTGCTTTAGATCAGTGGGTCTATTTTAGTTCCAGTGAATAAATGATATTTCTGACGTGACTGAGTCCTGCGTGTGTTTGTGTTCTGGTTAAATCACCCAGTGTAAGTGGAATGAAGGATTGGAATGAAGGGCATGACGTCATGTGTGATGTGTAATACTAAGCTCTAAGCACTTAAATCTTTCCAGCTGTGTGAAGTGACACGGTATGCCTGTTCATTTTTCAGCTACTGATGACTGAACACAAGATTCTCATCATCTTCCCATGTCCCAGTGGGCTTTTATTACACAATAAACTAATTCGCAGAAATGTGAGCGTGACTGGGAGAAGTGTTAGTGACTTTGAGAGACAGATTGTGAATCAGATTTGTGTCAGGTTTTCCACCTGAACTTTCTAACCAAAGTCTGTAATTCTTTGGATCAGCTGTTAGGTTCCTGAACATTCCAGAAAATTCTGGAACCTGAAAAGTGAAAACTCATGCTGTGGAAGTTGTGGTCTTTTTCTGTGATGCCCGGGAGGTTTTTTTGTGGATATCATTTTAAAACACAAAGGCGCTACGACACTGGGGTGTTTGTTGTGGTGTTGGTTTGTTGGTTTTTAGACTTCTGCACTATTCAGTTCTTCCACAAGGGGGAAGCAGTGGCCCGCGCATCGAATCTCAAAGCAGCCGAAGAAAAAACAAGAGACGGAAACGGGTTGAGTGGTCGTACAGACCTTCTGTTTTGTTTTGTTTATTTATTTATTTTTTTAAATTTCGTCTTCCTCTAGTAACTACAAATAAAACAGCGTGTCTTTCTCCTCCTTTCAGAACATTTCTAGGCCGGACTCGTGCAAAATAAATTGGGGGAGTCTGACTGTCCAGCAGAAGGCATGTAATAAACGTCAATCAGGACGTTTGAGTTGGATTAACTGGAGTTAATTCAATAATACAATTCTCTATGGTGTCTAAAATGTGAACATATTCCCTAGCATCAAGACTTCTGCCTTCTCCAGCATGGAGATCCATTGTTCCTGACGTTCTCTGGAGAGACGCTGAGTGAGCTACGACGAAGAAGAACCGCTTCATCCTCTCTTCACTGTATATGCAATGGATATATGGATGAAGCAAGCGATGAATATGTTGTGGTCTTTTTCTGTGATGCCCGGGAGGTTTTTTGTGGATATCATTTTAAAACACAAAGGCGCTACGACACCTGGGTGTTTGTTGTGGGGTTTGGTGGTGTTGTGGTGAAGTCCTGGTCTCTAGAGTGGGAGGATGTTGGTTCAAACCCAGCTTAGGTGCAGTGTGTTGGATGGTGAGGTGTAGAATGGGAAGTTAATATGTCTGATTTTTATGACCTGAGGTGTAGAATGGGAAGTTAATATGTCTGATTTTTATGACCTGAAAGCGAGATGTTTGGTTCAGGGATACGTAAAAGATGGTGAAAAGGTCTATAAAAGAATCTCTTTGTACGAGATCCTGTAGCTCATGTGGATGAGAGTCACCTCTGGTTTGAGAGGTTGCTGGTTCGATACCCAGCCAGGATTCAAGGATAAGAGTGTGGAAGGTTCTGGAATCAGTGGAAGGCTGAGTGATTCGCAAGGTGCAGGACGAGTGGTGTGGTGCAGGTTGGCTGGAGGGCGTGAAATGTGGTGGGGGGTAATATCCGGGCATCTGCCCCCCCCAGGACCAGCAGGGGAAAGTAAGAGGGTTATGGAACCTGAAGAGAGGGGTTCGACTTAGTTTTGCATTCTATAAAAAATTTCAGTAAAAACCTATGTCGAACCTTTTTCTTCAAGTTTCATAATCTCTTTCTGATCCTGCTCTGTGGGGTGCTGCCCTGCGACTTACCCTCCACCAGATCACAGCATCCATCACCCAGCCTGCCACTGGTTCCTGAACCAAGTACCCTCAAGTACACTCATATCCTTGAATCCTGGCTGGGGTTTGAACCAGCAATCTCTCAACCCAGAGGCGATGCTCATCCACATGAGCTACAGGATCTCGTACAAGAAGCTGGTTTTAAAGACCTTTTCACCTTCATATACATAACACTGCCCCAAAGGTTAAAGTAAACAGCGCGGACTTGAGCGAAACATAAACACAGGGCCAAGTTGGATTTGAACCTGCAACCTGTGAGCACAAAGACAGAGACGTCACCACACCACCACCAAGTCCCACAAGAGCGAGCAGGTCTCAAAGCGTCTTTGTGTTTTAAAATGACCTCGGCCCAAATCCCCACTATTCTCCTCTCTTCATTAAAGTCCTTCATTGTATTTTCTCCTCGAGCCCGAAGCTAAATTCAGTGTCAGCTTTAGCTAAACTTCAGCTCTGTTCAACTTGTTACCTTCAAAATAACAACCAAGAGATCTCTGTGAGTTTAAAAGAGAAGATGTGAAAACTCTCCATACATTAAAAAGAAAACCTTGAATAAATGAACAGCTGTTCGGACTGCTGATAAAAAACCATGAAGGGAAAAGTAGCTAGCTCTGTAGCCTACAGCTAGTCACAAAATGAAATGAAGAGCTAGCTAACATCATGCACTGATATTCACTGAACCACTTTGGAGAAGACATCTAATGTGGAACACTACAGCACTTTGTACACACAGGTCGCACACGCGCATTTCATTCTTCTGCACTATTCAGTTGATCCACAAGGGGGCAGCAGTGACCCCGCACCGAAACTCAAAGCAGCCGAAGAAAAAACGGAAGAGACGGAAACGAGCGTAAGCTCTTTTCGGTTTGAGTGGCCGCACAGACCTTCTGTTTGTCTGTTTTTTCATTTATTTATTTTATTTTTAAAATTTCGTCTTCCTCTAGTAACTACAAATAAAACAGCGTGTCTTTCTCCTCCTGATCATCGTGTTGTTGCGATTCTTCTTCTTTGGCGTCCTGCGTACGCGTGCATGTCAAATGGAGTTTACTTTGAAAGGCTATGCGTACCGCTGTGCGTATACGCTAACGTACGCGTAAAAAAACCCAAAGAAAGTATACGGGCTTTAGACAGCAGTGCAGGTTTTGTGTTCCTATCACACTCCATCGCTGAGATCTGGGAGATGTTTAGTGCAGGTAAAATGTCTATTATGAGACTACATAAAGCTACAACAGTGCGTTATCGGGGCAAAGTGGATAATATCTGTGCTGTTTCGTATCATATTTGCTTTTGTTTGACTCCTTTCAAGTAAAAGCAAAGGTCCCCCTAAGTTTATGATGCGGCTTAATACACTGCGGGTGTGATGGCTGCCCTCTTGTGGACGAAGGTTGAACTGCAGATAAAATGGCTAAAAAGGCTGAAGAGCGCCAAGCTTTCAGAACATTTCTAGGCCGGACTCGTGCAAAATAAATTGGGGGAGTCTGACTGTCCAGCAGAAGGCATGTAATAAACGTCAATCAGGACGTTTGAGTTGGATTAACTGGAGTTAATTCAATAATACATTTCTCTATGGTGTCTAAAATGTGAACATATTCCCTAGCATCAAGACTTCTGCCTTCTCCAGCATGGAGATCTGTTGTTCCTGACGTTCTCTGGAGAGACGCTGAGTGAGCTACGACGAAGAAGTACCGCTTCATCCTCTCTTCACTGTATATGCAATGAATATATGGATGAAGCAAGCGATGAATATGTTGTGGTCTTTTTCTGTGATGCCCGGGAGTTTTTTTGTGGATATCATTTTAAAACACAAAGGCGCTACGACACCTGGGTGTTAGTTGTGGGGTTTGGTGGTGTTGTGGTGAAGTCCTGGTCTCTAGAGTGGGAGGATGTTGGTTCAAACCCAGCTTGGGTGCAGTGTGTTGGATGTAGAATGGGAAGTTAATATGTCTGATTTTTATGACCTGAAAGCGAGATGTTTGGTTCAGGGATACGTAAAAGATGGTGAAAAGGTCTATAAAAGAGGCTCTTTGTATGAGATCCTGTAGCTCATGTGGGTGAGCGTCGCCTCTGGTTTGAGAGGTTGCTGGTTCGATACCCAGCCAGGATTCAAGGATAAGAGTGTGAAGGTTCTGGAATCAGTGGAAGGTCGAGTGATTCACAAGGTGCGTGACGAGTGTCCTGGAACAGGAAGGTGCAGGAGGGCGTGAAGTGTGGTGGGGGGTAATATCTGGGCATCTGCCCCCCCAGGACCAGCAGTGGAGAGTAAGAGGGTTATGGAACCTGAGGAGAGGGGTTCGACTTAGTTTTGCATTCTATATTCCTGAACCAAGTACCCTCAAGTACACTCATATCCTTGAATCCTGGCTGGGGTTTGAACCAGCAAGCTCTCAACCCAGAGGCAATGCTCATCCACATGAGCTACAGGATCTCTCACAAGAAGCTGGTTTTAAAGACCTTTTCACCTTCATATACATAACACTGCCCTAAAGGTTAAAGTAAACAGCGCGGACTTGAGCGGAACATAAACACAGGGCCGAGTTGGATTTGAACCTGCAACCTGTGAGCACAAAGACAGAGACGTCACCACACCACCACCAAGTCCCACAAGAGCGAGCAGGTCTCATAGCGTCTTTGTGTTTTAAAATGACCTCGGCCCAAATCCCCACTATTCTCCTCTCTTCATTAAAGTCCTTCATTGTATTTTCTCCTCGAGCCCGAAGCTAAATTCAGTGCCAGCTTTAGCTAAACTTCAGCTCTGTTCAACTTGTTACCTTCAAAATAACAACCAAGAGATCTCTGTGAGTTTAAAAGAGAAGATGTGAAAACTCTACATACGAAGAAAAACCTTGAATAAATGAACAGCTGTTCGGACTGCTGATGAAAAACCATGAAGGAAAAAGTAGCTAGCTCTGTAGCCTACAGCTAGTCACAAAATGAAATGAAGAGCTAGCTAACATCATGCACTGATATTCACTGAACCACTTTGGAGAAGACATCTAATGTGGAACACTACAGCACTTTGTACACACAGGTCGCACATGCGCATTTCATTCTTCTGCACTATTCAGTTGTTCCACAAGGGGGCAGCAGTGACCCCGCACCGAATCTCAAAGCAGCCGAAGAAAAAACGGAAGAGACGGAAACGAGCGTAAGCTCTTTTCGGTTTGAGTGGCCGCACAGACCTTCTGTTTTTAATTTTTTATTTTTAAAATGTCGTCTTCCTCTAGTAACTACAAATAAAACAGCGTGTCTTTCTCCTCCTGATCATCGTGTTGTTGCGATTCTTCTTCTTTGGCGTCCTTCACACCAGAAGACCTGCTTTACTGCTCTGTACTGACTCTTGTAGGCCAGGAGGGGTAGTGCATGCTGTCGCAATGCGCATGCGTCGACCGCCTGCGTACGCGTAAAGCTCATATTATTCACTAGTTTGTGCACTGATGTGATAAACAGCTCACCTGATTTACACGAGAATAAAAGTTGTGGGAAATAATTTGAAAATGTTTTATGTTTTTGATTTCAATTCCCAAATGTAACAAGACTGATTTCCATTTTGTGTTTGGTTCTGCAATGTTTAATAATGATCCTGATCCCGAACACAGTGTGAAGCTTCACATCACGCTCAGTCAGTGACTGCTGGAGCCATACACACCCAATGACTTCTAAATAATTGTCCTTAATATGTTCAGAGCAGCTTGAATAAAATACAACCAAACACATAGAGAGTATAGAGCACAGGGTTCAAACGGAGGTTTAAAATGACAAGGGCTTCGAACAGTCTTTACACCAATAATTACTACATGTAAAAAGGAAGAAAGAAAGAAACCTGCAGGATATGTGGCATTTATCTGCAAGGGCCAAATTAATCACATTACTAAACTTAATATATGCAATGGAATATTTACCACACTCCTGAAAACAGCTATCGTTCCTACCTGTAAATGACTTCAACATCGTTGGGTACTTGGGCCTAGTGCTGTTGAAGCAAAGACTTAATATAAAGCTCGCAATTGCCGTCAAGCTGATATTGAATTCCATATGAAGGTTTATTGGCAGCAGTAGGGCGTGTTTGAGGACGCACGGTCTCGGTTTTCTCACACAGTTTCACACTGGAACCATCGAACACCCAGAATCCAGCGTGCAGGGGCTCGGTGAATGTGGTGCAGACTCGGAGGAGGAGAGTCATAGTGTCTGTGATGCTGTAGAAGGACAGAGACCCGGCTCCGTGATCCAGATAAATTCCTATTCTTGTGGACAGCGGACCTGAAATAACGGTCTTACATGCATTATGAAAGAAAGAAAACTGAGAGGAATTACAACATAAACTCCAGGATTTATCGTTGTGTCCGAAGCCCAAATTAGAACAGCAGCCAATTCTATCCACTCCTCTGTATGATGCTGCGATGTAAACCTGCTGACCTCCCCATTCCACCTCCCAGTAACAGCGCTCCTGAAGAGCTTCTCTACACAGAGCCTGAGCGTAGTAGTTAAATCTCTCAGGCTCTGTGTGATTGTGTGTATTTGCTTCATCAAAAGTTATTTTTCTGTCGCCCTCGGACAGATGGAGGTCCCTGTGGGCTGTTCTAGGATCCACCGTCAACCGAAGAAAATCTGTTATTTTAATCACACACCACACACACACACACACACACACACACACACACACACACACACACACACACACACACACACACACACACAAAGACCAAAGTTGTATTATAAACAAACGTTTATACACTGCTACAGCACTACACTGCTGCTGCTGAGTTCTGGATTGTGATTGGTCAGGAGGTGTTGATTGATTCTCTAGGACAACGACTCTGACAGCAGTGCCGCTGCACATCACAGGTTTATTCATAATTAATGTGCTCGTTCTAATACGGTATCGTTTCTATAGTAACAGCTCATTCACAGGGACGTGTACAGCGGATGCTCAACTAATAACAAATGGATTAAAATCAGTTGTAATCGTTGATATGGTGAGGTTTTCTGTAAGGAGAAATGTGTTTATTTATCATTTATACAAAGGAGTCTCCAGTGTCAAAGCTGTAACTTTCAGTCCCACATCTTCAGGACAGAGGAGTTTACACTTTGCAGTATTTTACTGACTTTGAAATCTGCAAAATCCTAAAACTTTCTATTCCTTAAAGTCATAAGAGAAAACAGAACCACAGTGCTGTAAGGGTTAAAGTTCCCCTGCTAGACATCACAGTTCCTGAAGACCCAAGATGTTCTCCATCAGTAGATTCAGGTGTGTCTGAGCAGGTGAAACACCCAATTTACATTTAAGGCATTTAGCAGATACCCTTATCCAGAGCGACTGACCTTCTGATCAGTAACCCAGAGCTTTAACCACTGAGACACCACTGAGACACCACTGAGACACCACTGAGACACCACTGAGACACCACTGAGACACCACTGCCCCTGATGCATGGAGATAAATATAACCATAAATATAACTATACATTTGACCATAACTGTGAAAATATTTGGTTTACTTAATTAATGAAGATAATACATGATGTTCAAATAAATGAATATAAAATCATTAATGACTTTTTCCTCTGGGGATCAGAAATATGCCAATATTATGTGATGTTCCTTGTTTCCTTGTCCACATATATATGGATATTATCGAAAACTTTTGACCTCTCCATTAAAAAAACAATCCTGTCCACATAGACATTTCAGAAAATATCTGTCTACATGACCATGCAAAAACTGACTGGAGAACACTCACATGAGTACGCTGGTATGTTTAGAGAGGACATCATACACTACACCGAAAAACACCAACAAACGTTCTACACGTTAAAAATCCAAACACTGTGTGGAGTGAAGATGAAGCAGAACTACTGCTTACGGTTCTGCTGGATCAGATCAGATAAACCCAGATCAGATAAACCCAGGTCAGATAAACCCAGATTACATAAACCCAGATCAGATAAACCCAGATCAAATAAACCCAGATCAGATAAACCCAAATTAGATAAACCCAGATCAGATAAACTCAGATTAGATAAACCCAGATCAGATAAACCAGTCCTGGTACATTAATAACACACGCAACAGACACGTGCAGGTTCACGCTGTGACGTCAGTGTATTTCAAAAGCACACGTATTTCTCATCCACGTCAATTAAAGTGTCAACTGAATTTGAAAAATTGTCCACATTCTAGAGAAGCGAAAAAAGGTCAATTGTTCCTATCCTGAAACTCCAAAAATACCCACATGATAAAATAACTGTAAATCTGTCGTAAAGTAACTTACAGTGAAGAAACTCGTCTCTGAGTACCGGAACAGACGTCTGAATCACGTGACATGGCTTTCCTATAAAGAGAGACAACTGCAGTCAAACTCTAAAAGAAGAGAAGTACGAAATGAAGGATGTTCTCGGGTCCCGAGCTTACCCGATCTGGACTTGGTCTGTAATGCGGTCGTGTAGAACTCTTTCACCTTCAGCGCCAGCTCAGACACACAGGTGTGTATTTCTTTAAAAGGTGACAGGTTGACAGTAACGTGTGGAACATCATGAAATGTTGAAAAGTCAGACAGATTCATGAAGTCCTGGGACGTTTAACACCAGCAAAAGTTTCATTAGTGGTTTCTTTGTACACGATTACGAATAAAACATCAGTGTCCTGGATTAAAGACTCAAAAGGACATGAAGAGATGATGAACAGTGTTACCCTGAGGAAGAGGAAGTCATCGTCTAACTGTGGAAGCTGAACCAGTTCGTTATCTCTCTTCTTCAGTTTAGTCACTTCCTGTTCCACACGCTGAAGAATTTCCTCTGCTCGCTGCACTTCAGCTTCTTCCCTAGCTTTGATTATTCCTCTAATCTTCTGTCCTGCTGAGCCGATCAACTCCACAAACATCTCACTTTGGTCCAGTGTTGTCTTTGCAGAGGACTATGATCAAACCAGGATTTGATACAGATGATTGATTTAGATGTTATAAGTGTAGAATAATAATAATAATAATAATAATAATAAGAGGAAGAAGAAGAAGAGGAAGAAGAAGAAGAAGCAGAAGGAGAACTCCAAGTCTTATATCTTGAGACTTTAATATTTAATATAGTGTGTGTATCTAGTTTTGTAATGTATA